GGGAGCGTACATACGCGTTTGTAATTGAAGCTTTGCTCGATGCTAGTTCTTCGCTTTGCTCGCCGCTCCACTATGTTTTGACCCTTAAGTCGATGTTATGCAGACAAATTTTGTTTGCCAAATTAAATGGCGGCTGCTTAGTTTGCTCGGACTTTGGTACAGGGTTGCACGCTCATTGTGAACACGAAATTAAAATTTCAAATGTACATGCCGTGCACAAATTAATACTTTTATGATATCGTATAAACAATTAACTGTAGCCTAAGCTTTGAAGCTCCTACAGCATAAATTCAGTAAATTCTCTTTTTCATTATCATTGCATATTTGTGTATAACAATAATTATCTAAAATTTTTGTATATGGCAACACTAACTTTTCTGCAGTTAGGCCCAACACAATGATAGCCCTATTCCCACAGCAGTCAAAAATTCACTGTATGTCTATTGTCACAATTACTGCGCCTAAAACACAATTAGTCTGTTCCTTTGAACTTCGGACTAAAACCTGTGGAACTGTCAAACTACAATTTTACTCCCTCAAATGAGAGTAAAAGGAGAACAGATGCAGAAGTGCATGGGAACGCAAAAAGCACTATTTCCTCTAAAAATGTCAGTCGGTTTGTTTACATGTCATTTGTACAGCACTTATTTGGCTGAAATATCACTAACTAATTATTCAAATTTATATACGTATTCAAATATTTCGTTGTTTACTTCCATTTTTGTACAAATATAAGGTTCTTTGCTTACACCGATTTCTGTTTTTGTTTGCACATGTAAATCAGCTGATCGTTTGACACTTTTCATGAACTTACAGGAAAAATAAACTCCGGACTAAATCCTGTAACTTCTGACTAGGAACAGTTGCTCAGTTACTCTCAAAAGTTTTCCCACTTACAGGTTTTATGTCAATAGGAACGACTTCCTGTAAGTTCTGACTGTCCTGTAAACCGGACTGCGATTGGAACAGACTAAATATAAATATTGTTTCGCCGTTGTCGCGTACTCATTAGGTCATAACAATAAAAATAACAATTGTCACCATTCGAAAGCTTAAAATAAATATGCGGCTTAGTATTAGGCGTATTAGTAAAGACAATAGTCAGCCGCTGAGTTTTTTCATTGGCGCGGGAATAGGGCTTTTAGTTTGCTGTGAGAGTCGCCAAACTCGCTCTCTCCGAGTTTTCTGTAACGACAATTGCACGCAGATTGCCAAACAAAATTTCTACATAACACCGCCCTTATATTCATATTTTTTATATTTACATATCGCTAGCTTAAGGTGTCACACGATTGAGCATTTGCCCAAAATTTGGTGTAATCGTGTGAATGCACAAATAGTTTTCTTTGTCCCAATCACGAAAAACAATTTATTAAAATTTTTCACAATTTCTATTTCGTACCAATAGCCCAATATACAAAATGTACAAATGTACCAATCGTGTGACACTGCCTTTAGAGTGAAAAGTTGCTAAGTCCCAATTTAAAAATTTTACAGGAAAAGAAAATAACTTCTTATAGCCATAAGGTATTGGCCCAATGCAGGCTTGCTTTGCTTGCCTCGCTTTGAGAACTGTCAGAAGATATTTGGAATCATCGTACAGTTTCATAAGTAAAAACACTATCAGCTGATTGCCAAAAAATGCCTACAGCTGAGATCACCTGTTTTTTGGCTGTGCTCTTGTCTTTTACAATTTCTTTCATTTCTATTACAATTTCTTTTATTTCTATTACAATTTATTCAAAATACACTAACACACTGAAACCAAAAACACCAATACACTAACCAAAAATACACCTACAGCCTGCCAACACACACACCTACAGCCTGCCAGGCAAAACGGTAAGAAGAAGAGTTACTTTACTTATGGAACTGTACGATGTTTGGAATATACTAAAACGTATGAAGGCTGGCCAAATGGCAGCTTTGCTTCACTTGCTTTCAGCGCCTCAAAGTTTCAAATAGGCAAATGTTTTATTTGAAAGCGCTTTGTAGGCTTTTGACAAAAAGGTATGTTCCCGTTCTAAATGAATTCAAACTGCTGCGTTCTTTTATGAACAAAAATTTGCTTACGTAATTAAAAAATATATATAATATAAGTTATTCAAAGTTTAATAAAAGTGATTATATGTTTTCATATTTACATTTAACATACGCTGACTGAAAAGTCCATTTTTACAAATTTTACAGGAACTTTGAATACAACATTTTGCATATTTAAAGCAAAGCAAAACTCCATACGAATCAAAAGGATTCGATCTTTATTAAAAGATTTCGTATTATTTTGGCCTTATCGGATTTTCGGGGCCTCTTCTGGACTTAGAAAATTTGCCTTCCATTGAATATAAATGAGAAAAAATAAAACAAGTACCTTAATTCTTAATTTTCTTGCTTCCTATATCATAAGGTTTCACAAATTGTGGACTTAGCAACTTTTCACACAAAGCTAGCGATATTTATGATGTCAAAATACTGGTCAGTCGTCTCTTGAAAAATTTGATTTTTTTTTTTGTTTTTAATAAATGTACTTACAGCTATATATGTATAATTATTATCATTCCTTTGAAATGCAAAAATTAATTCCCATCAATTTAAAAATAAATCAGAAAAGATTGCTTGTATTTTTTTTAGTTTTCTGGAATTTTGTGGGAAATTTATTATTAGTGTAAGGGAACAGACTTTAATTTTTTAACTACACAGATGGTAGCTTTGACAGCGTTCGCCATTTGGCCAAACGAGTTTTTGAAGTAAATCAAAGCAAATTAAAGTAAGTAAGGCGAGCAAACCAAGCCTGCATTGGGCCAGCGCTAATATTCTTACGGATACCAGATTTTGAAGTAGCTTGAACTTACCGTTGATTTTTGGCAATTTTTTTTCGCGAATATTCTCCCACACAAAGTAAGTCCTAGTCACTTAAAATTTGCACTTTGAATTGAATGGGGTACAAAACTGCATACTCAGAATGCTTCGTAGAAACCTAATTAAAAAGCTCAAAATTTTTATGAAACTTTGTCGAATTTCGCTAATTTTTATACAAAATTTGAAATTTTGACTTACATACATAGTCTTTCACTTTCATAAAAAAATAATAAACATTACATAATAGAAAGGGGAATAGCCAAGGAATGCTAAAATGCCTTCCCTATTTATATTTTCGCCACTGTATCTACAGCTTATATTTTTCACTTCCATGATTTTTTAGGAGAATTTTGTAGTACTATTTTTTATAATTTCACTAAAATAAAGTTTGAATGTTTCATTAAAAAACTTAACAAACAGAATAAATATAGTTCCCTTTTATTCTCTGTCGTCTGTGATAACGAAAGTGCTGTATGTTTGTGCGAAAAGAACTGAAAAACATGGACTTGATCGGTACAAATATGAAAAATCGGGACACTTATACGTCCCGACCTTAAAAAAATATTCAGCGGGACAATTTCAAAATCAGTACTGTGCCGCCAAAATCGGTACCAATGGTCACCGTACATATCCTTCAAGCATTTCGCAAAACTTTGAACACATCGTTTTGCCTGTTTAAAGTAAAGCAAAACTCCATACGAATCAGAGGGATTTGATCCTTATTAAAAGATACCGTACTTTTTTGGCCTTATCGAATTATCTGAGCTTCTTTTGGACTTAGCAAATTTTCCTTTCATTTAATATAAACGAAAAAAAAATAAATAAAACAGGAACCTTTATCTTATTCGAAACGATGCATTTTTAATTTCTCTAGTCTCCTGTATCAAAATATGAGTTTTCATAAAAAGTAGACTAAGCAACTTTTTACTCAAAGCTAACGATATGTAACTTTTAATTTAAGATTTGAATTTCCTTTTTTTATTTTAACTATTTTTTACAGGATTAAAAGATAAACCCCTTTTTTCTATATACTTTATGTCTTTTTTATACGGTTTTGTCTGGAACGTATTTTCCAACCGCAAATCCAACACCATTTCCACAACATCCTTGTTATAGGAAACAAGAGAAAATAAAAATACATCGTTTCCAAAAGGATTACGGTACTGGTTTTATTTTTTATGACTTGGTGCATATTTTTCATTATTTCTGTTGCTTGAAAAAGTACTTTGTTTTTGCTGTAGATTTTCTTGAAGAAATAAATATACGATTTTTTTTTTCTTGAGAGCTGCAAACATTTAATTAAGAAATCTTGAGTGTCATTTTACATACAGTCACTCAATAAAGTTTAGGTACAGCGAATTTTTTGCAATACGGGCAACTATTTCTTAAATATTTTATTTTTCGGTTTTTTTTTTTATAAAAATATGGTTAATTCTACAACAAAAACCACAAAAATCAAAGTTCAAACCTTATCGAAGTTTTTGTGCCACTTTTGCACTTAAAGGGCTGTTTGCAGCTTTGCAGCGAAAAATTCATATACAGTCAATCAATAAAGTTTAGGTACAGAGAGTGTTTTGCAATACGGGCAACTGTTTGTTAACTATTTTATTTTTCGTAAATTTTTTTTTATAAAAGTATGGTTAATTCTACAACAGAGTGTAAAAAAGTGCAATATTTGAATGAAAATTTGCAGAATTTTCTTTAACTTTGCACAAGGTTTGGGATTCTGATTTTGGGTGTTTCTGTTGTAGAATTAACCATATTTTTATGAAAAAAAATTAGCGAAAAAAAAAATATTTAAGAAACAGTTGCCCGTATTGCAAACAACTCTCTGTACCTAAACTTTATTTATTGACTGTATATGAATTTTTCGATGAAAACATACCTTTAAGTACAAAAGTGGCACAAAAACTTCGATAAGGCCATATTAATACGAAATGTTTTAGTTAATCTTGAATTGTCCAAATTCCTATGGAGTTTTGCTATGCTTTAAGCACTGAAAATGTTGTTTTGAAAGTTTTGCAAAATACTTCAAGAAAATGATATACGAAGTTTTCCTCCTATTAAAGTAAACAAAAAAAATTAACTTAGCAACTCTTCACTCTCAACTCGGTTTTTACCATGTGTTTTATCGTTGCTAGCAATGTACGGTACATGTCACCAGAACGCCTACTGGGTTCCAAGAACAATATAAAAAGCGACATTTGGTCTTTGGGTATAATATTGGCCGAACTTTTGCTGCAAACCTCGTTTTGGCCGAATATGAAAATATCGAATATTACACGAAAAATACTTTCATTCTCCCAAGAAAATAACGTGTTTGAAAAGATTGCTCGTGAACACAATGTTCTAGAAAGATATGAGCAAATACAAGTCGAACTACGCTCCCTGGTCGAAAGTTGCCTGTGTGTACCACCAACAAAACGCCCACTGCCTAATACTCTCTTTTTACATGAGTTTTTTTCCAAGAATATTAAAGCTTACGCATATATTGCACCTTCGAAATCCCCCATTTTCTTGCTTCGATGTCCGCTTGAACAGATATATTATTGGTGGCAATTAGCTGGAGGTGACGTACAATCTGAATTGAAGAAGGAAGGCCTGATTCGTAGCGAGGCGCCAATATTGGCAATACCGCAGTTAGTGTGCCTGAATGGCATAACGATAGGACCCAAACGAAGCCAATCTTATCTTATGGATGATCGTGTGGTGCCACTAAAATTGAACAATCTCTTTGACAAACTTTGCAACCTGCCGGCGATGGCATATTTTCCACTGATACATTCACCAAAATTCGCATACAATTTTGGTGCCGACATGGAGCAATTACCTTTGGTAATACGAGAAAAAGATATTGAATATCAATTTTATCGTGTTCGACTTTTTTCACGATTGTTAAAGGTAATTGGCACCGTAGTAACCATAACTAGTTGAATTAATCAATGAATTTAAATACATTTGTTTTAGGGTTATCCTCACACAAGCGAAATGATACGCAAAGAAGCTGCTGCAGATATACCTCCTCACTTGCGCGGCCAAATTTGGGCTTGCTTGCTTGATGTAATACCAAATGGCAGTTATGGAAAAATCGACAAATTTACATCAACTTCGACTGATCGTCAAGTTCGTATTATAATCTCTTTGTTACTGAAATACATGATTCAATAATTATAATTATTATTATTGAATCATGACTGAAATATATGAACTTCTTTTTCTTATGTTCAGATTGAAGTTGACATACCACGCTGTCATCAATATGACGAATTATTATCTTCGCCTGAGGGTCATTGTAAGCTAAAGCGACTTTTAAAAGCGTGGGTAACTGCTCATCCGCATTACGTGTATTGGCAAGGTTTAGATTCACTGACGGCACCGTTTTTATATCTGAACTTCAATAATGAAGGTTTGTTTAAAACTATTTTGCATATTCTGTAGTATTTTATCCTTAATGTACTACATACATACATACATATCGTTACCTTAATTCTCGAAGGCCCTAACCAAAACTTTTTTCGAAACAGCGTTTTTCACGGATTTTGGTAGGATATATCAAAATACAACTTCACTAAAAATTTGAAAGTGTTAGTACCAAAAACAAGGAAATTATGCCACTTTTCAAAAAGTCCTATCTGCAGTTTTTGATTTTCATTTTATAATGTTTTTTGCTTGTCCTGAAAATAGAAAATTTTCTGGTTTGGGCCTTTGTGAATTAAGATAACAATATGCACATACATATATTTTTATCAATCATTATTTTTTTGTTTAGAACTGGCCTTCCTGAGCCTCTACAAATTCATACCAAAATATTTACAGTGGTTTTTCCTTAAAGACAATTCAGCGATTATCAAGGAGTATCTAAGCAAATTTTCACAACTCACCGCATTCCATGAACCTCTTTTGGCCACACATTTAGCAAGCATAAATTTTATACCAGAACTATTTGCAATCCCTTGGTTTCTCACTATGTTTTCGCGTAAGCTTTTACTTAAAAATATTATATTTTTATGCTTGTACTTTTTAACCGTGAATTTTATATGTCTACAGACGTTTTCCCCCTACACAAGATATTGCATCTGTGGGACAAGCTTATGCTGGGCGATAGTTCGTATCCTCTCTTTATCGGCATCGCTATATTGAAACAGTTAAAAAATACTCTTCTCAGTTCTGGATTCAACGAATGCATTTTACTTTTTTCCGATTTGCCCGACGTAGTTATGGAGAATTGCGTTCTAGAGTCGCAAAAAATGTATGAGTGTACACCAAAAAGTGTTTCCCATCGCTTTCATGTATTAAGAGAAGAACCTCTCACTGAATTCGTATGCACTTAAAATGTTGTAATTTTCTATAAGCATAACACTGAGTAATTTTCAGGATATTACACCTGACGTAACCTTAAAGCATTTACAAGCTGAGATGTGCCCGCGTATAAGCGCAAATGATTTTACTCATCTTTTACATCATGCACCCACATATATGCTTGCTCTGGATTTGCGTAGCGCTGTTGAGTTCGCACATGTACACGTGCCTCACAGCATAAATGTACCCTTTTTGGGATTACAACTATCGGAGCCATGCCTGGAAGTTCTAGGCGTACAACAATCGGAGGAAATGTTACAGGGTCGTATTGTGATATGTATTAGCAACAAACACGAAAATGCCGTTCAAGTAAGTGTTTTTATTTTTAATGCAACCAAAAAATTTAATTAAAAGTGCACCTTACTTTACAGCTTTCGAAGTTTTTGGTGGAATGTGGGATACCACGCGTTTGCATTTTGCATAAAGGATTCAATGTTCTACACACTATAGAGCCAAATATACTAATTTCGAATTAATCCCCCAAAAAAATCTTGATACTTATTTATAGGTCGTACCTGACAAGTAGATACACAAAAGTAAATCATTATGGTTTGTATAGCACAAACGATTCTAAATATATTTCTATGGACATAAGTAATGACCGCCTAAGTCGAAAAACCTGAATGTGAGGAACAACATTTTGAACATTTGGATTGTAATTGAGTGAGGGGGCAGGACCAGGATGAATTTATTTATACAAAAATTTATTCAAGCAAAAATTTTTTGGGTAGGCGTTGGGACCAATGATAACCATCAGTTACTACCTCTGCATGGAGCCTCACCATCTCCGCTGCGAGTGCCGCCGTCACTCTGTTCACCACCTTGACAAAGGAAGTTAGGCTAGAGATGGACGTCTACGTCGATGGCAACAAAATACCGACGGTCAACCACCCCAAAATCTGGAGAGTTACGTTCGACAGCCTATTCTCATTTTCTGCGCACGTCTCATCCACTTGCGAAAAGATGCGAGCTAGGAACAAAGTCCTCAAGTCACTAGCCGGCAGCACTTGGGGAGCCGACGAAGAAACCCTACTCACTACGTATAAAGCAATCGGCCGGTCGGTGGCAAACTACGCAGCGCCAGTGTGGACGGCAGGTACCAGCGATACACAGTGGATAAACCTACAAACATGCTAGAATGCAGCTCTACGCTCGGCTGCAGGCTGCCATCTCATGCCGTCCGAGCATCACCTCCACCAAGAAAGCCAGATGCTGGCGGTGAAAGAGCACAACACGTTGCTATCGAAGCAGTTCCTCGCTCTGCTTCGAGATGAACCGCCTCCCCGACATGTCAGACGTCACCTGCACGATTGCAAACCCGACGTTGAGCCGTGCGTAGACCACCCATTCGACGCAGAGATATACAGAGTGGCGCTGAACCACCTAAACACCGATGCAGTCAGGTCGAGTCTTAGCACCAGAAACGACAACATCGTTCTAGGCGGTCGACCGGCGCCCATCAACATCGACGAAGCTGAACTGCCAAGAGAGATCAGGTGCACCCTAGCACAAATCCGTTCTGGGTGGTGCCACAGACTTAACAGGTATCTCTCCCGGCTGNCGGTCGACCGGCGCCCATTAACATCGACGAAGCTGAACTGCCAAGAGAGATCAGGTGCACCCTAGCACAAATCCGTTCTGGGTGGTGCCACAGACTTAACAGGTATCTCTCCCGGCTGAACCCAGAAGTGGCAGACACATGCCCTGCATGCGGGCAAGGTCCACACAACACCCAACACCTCTCTAACCCCACGACTCTGACACCAGAAGCACTATGGACCGCGCCTATCGACGCCGCCCGCTTTCTTAGTCTCAGGCTTGTCGAGTCAGAGGACGAAGACGACCCATGATGAAACCCCGGGGGGTTGAGTACTGTTGCTACAACAACAACAACCTCTGCATGCACGATTGAGAGAATACAAAGGTTGCGCCGATCTCGGACCGCTATTCCTCTCTTAACGAATTTGACAGAATCGTTGTTTGCATGACGTCACACTTGTGCAACTTGTTTATTTTTTCTTTGCAAAATTTTTTCTTCTTCTTCCATTCTTGCTCACGTTTTGGCATTTCTCTCTCGCAATTGCACCAGTGTGACGTCACACAAAAGTTATTCTCAAAAATCCTCTCTGATCGGCGCAATCTTGTATTCTATCATTCTTGCTCTGCATGGTTGTAAGCCATGCAGAGTGCCTACTACATATAGCGCTGTGGCTTTACCGTTTAGAAAGTTCCGGAGGAGTTTTTCGGGGATGCATCAAGCAGAGCGTTGAGCATCAGCAACAAAAGCATCGGATATGTATCATGTATGTTCAGAAATGTGGGTAGGCGATGTGACCAATTGTAACTCTATGCTGAAAGGCATACACGTGAGACAACTCCGGAAGCATCGTGGGTGGGTTGATGCGTCAAGCACGTTGAGCATTGTGGAGATATGCATCAAGCAAGTTGATGATTGAGGTCGGAGTGACCGCGGGCTTGTGAAAACTAGTAGCAGAGACTTAAAACCTATCAGTTTTTTATTTTAGGTATCAAAGTATCAATGTGGAATAAAACCAATAATTTTTATGAAAAACCATTTTCCAAAACAATTTAAGATTTATTGATTGCAAAAAAGGTACACGTATCAGTACACGTACCTGATACTAGTATAATAATAATAAAGAAAATGTCTGGGTATTACTATAATAAAAACAGTAAAAATGTCTTATATTTAATCTTATATTTAGTTTAAATACTTTTTGTACTTAGAGGACTCAGAATTTAAACTTTTTAATCATTATTTAAAGCATTTTTTAGGTTGCTTACTCCCGCTTGTTTACTTCAACGCAATCTATTTTATTATCGAATTTCAAAAGTTGCCATTGTATAGGGGAACTTCGGGTATTGTAGTATAGGTATCTGTTTTTTAAGATCTGTAGCAAATGTACGAGCTCAAAAATAACAAAGAAAAAAATGTTAAAGAACCCAAAAAAACCTACTTCAAAAATTTTAGGGTAATGTGGTATACCTATATGGTTCGGATAATGTGGTTTACACTTAGGTCTCTTTTTATGCGGATTTGAAACCGATTTTTTTCGCTGTAGCGATATTACTTTTTTTAGAGTTGTCAATCCTTTTTTTCAGTGCGTAAGAGACAATGCTTCTGATAATGAAATTGTCTTTGTATTTATTGAGGTATTTTTTTTGTTTTTGGTTTAAATGCAGATAAAATTTTATTCATTTCATTAATGTTCACATTTACCTGAAAACGGAGTGTTGAAGCGAAGAAATGAATTGTTTTTTTTTTGCTTAATATTGCCTCACTGGATTTTTTTATTCGGTTTTTTTTTAGAATTTTTTTTTTTTTTTTTTTTTTTTTTAAATTTTTTTTTTTTTTTTTTTTTTTTAGAATTTTTTACATGGTGTATCTCAATTTATGCGGTCTTTGAAAATGCTGGAACGCATCCCCCGTTTCTGTATGAAAGTAAAGCACTTTTTATGCGGCTTTCTGAGGAACGCATATACCGCATAAAAAGACCTAAGTTTACTACTCATTCCCACGACAGCCGGTTCTACGTACCGGAATGACTCGGGTTTCACCCGACCAAGGGCTGTTGTTTCGGCGATCTAACCCCGTTTAGGTCGGCGAAGTATCTCAGAAGTTGTCCGTCCATAGGGCAACATTCACTACGCATTCTCCTACTCGAGTCAAACCCTGGGCCAGAAATATACACCTGCTGTGTATGCCGGAGACGTTTACACCACAACTCCACCTCAGTCAAGTGTAATGCCTGCGAGGGGTGGAGTCACCTCAGGGTCTGCTCGGGACTACGGACACACAGACAGTGGACCACGTCGTACGTGGCCCCCTGTTGCTCAAATAGAGCAGCCTCCACGGCAACCCATAGTCCGCCCGTGCAGCCCCACACACTCACACAGCAACCACACACAGTCGCCACAACACAACAACATACCACAGCCACCACAGACCACATAACACACACAACCGCACCACCACCCACACGCCGCCGCCAACAACTCTTGGTTCCCCCTAGAATCTGCACGTTATGTCAGACCAGAATATTCCGTAATGTGACATCAGTCAAGTGCAACACCTGCCTTGGCTGGTGCCACTTTAGGGCATGTTCAGGTCTGCGCACCACGCGAGATTGGACGGGGAACTTCGAGGGCCCGTGTTGCGCTGCTCGGTCGCTGACATCAATTGCGACGCCCCCCACTACCACCACAGGGAGGCAATCACCCCAGCAGCACACACAGCCAACGGCGGCAAGAACATACACCTCACTCACACCCCACATCACAACACGTCTCCCGAACCACATGAAGCTCCTCCAATTCAACTGTAACGGGCTACAGAGCAAGATTGAGGAGATAACCGCCTTTATGTGTCGGCATGGTATATTAATAGCTGCGGTCCAAGAGACGAAGTTGCACAGCAATTCAACTTTGTTGAATTGTGCCGGGTACAACGTGCACCGTCGAGATCGCGAGCGAGATAATGGTGGTGGCTTAGCGTTCATCACGCACCACACCGTGCAGTATCGTCTTCTCGAAGCAGACATCGACCGCAGGGATACCACCCTAGAATGTCAGGGCATCGCTATCCGGTCAGGCGATGTCGAGCTCGAAATATTTAATATATACATACCCCCTGTCACCTGCTGCCCGGCAGGATATCACCCT